TGCAAAATAGACAACGAAAGGAGAAAAGGGGGTCAAATAACACAGAGCTCCACGAAACTGTAAACTGAGTAAAGAAAAGAGACGAGAAAAGAAATTTTGTCAGAAACCTCTCATCTCTGCSAGCGTCACATGGTCTCTGTCTGCCGCCTGCTTCACGGGGAGCCACTTTTTTCTCCCCTCCTCTACCCTTTTCTTCTTCCTTTTACTCTTCTTCTTTTCTCGCCCTCAAAGCGGAGTGACAGTCATTTATTTCACATCRGGTCTACTTTATGACTGCGGTCGCTTTGCATTCATGCCGGACGGTTTGCTTAAAAAGCTTTCTGACAAGGCCATGAATACGCTTAGTGACTCCTCTCCTGATATCGACTCGCCCGGTTTCTACCACACAAGTTATTTAGCAACAGCAGACTTTAGCTAACAAATAACTGCAGTCATTAAGTCRTTAAAAACAACAAAAATATTACGTTTTGCATCATTTCTYTCCTGCTAGGATCCGACAGCTAAAGATGTGAGTCAAGACCGCAGCCGTGTCGACACACACACACATACATGAATGTGTGGATAAGACACGTTCAATCTATATGCTAATCCTCTCCATGTATGTTTCTGAAAGCAGAAAGGATCTGACAAAACTTTAAAGTTCATTCAGTTCCGTCTTTGAAACATAACTTCAATACAAACGGGGTCAAGCTCRGAAAACTCTAACAAACCAGTAAGAGAATAAAGAGCWGAAGKAGAACTGATCTGCCACCTGGAGCTAACCGACCCGAGGGGGGAAGAACTTTCTAAGCAAATACTGAGCTCACAGGTCACCTGAGAGTCCATCAAAGAATCAACAAGATGAACCCTGTTATCCACGTTTAGGTCGGTACATCTCTGKGCCCTAACTGCAAAAACTGCACAAAAATAGGTGACTTTTCTGTTGCAGTCTCCAAAAATCTGAATTCAGTTGGGGACTACCAGTTTTCAACAACAAAGAAGACCCATGCTGGACAGACCATGTCTGTCTCAGCTGACCTGAGAACGCCTTGGAAGAGGCGACTAGCAACAGATCTAGCAACTTTTTTCTGGTGTTTTTGGAGACTTTGGAGACTGCTTTCTTACTGAGGAGTTGTATGGATGGATGGATGAATGGATGGAYGGATGCATTGATGAATGCACTGATGAATGGATGGATGGATAGAYGGATGCATTGATGGATGGATGATGGATGGATGGATGAATTGATGAACAGATGGATGGATAGATGGATGAATTGATGGATAGATGGATGCTTTGATGGATGGATGGAAGGATGGATGGATAAATAGATGGATGGATGCATTGATGGATGGATGGATGGATGGATGGATGGATGGATGGATAGATAGATGGATGAATGAATGGATGGATGGATGCATTGACGCATGGATGGATGCATTGATGG